ATATATGTTATTTAAAAAATTAATCATTAATTTTGGAATACCTAAAATTAATATATATTAAGGAATTAAAAAAATAGAAATAAAATATATTTCCAAATACTTTATTATATAAAATTTTATATAATTATATATAATTCAATGTACTTTAATTGTATATATAATAATTTAATTATTATTTATATACCTACGTTTAGTACAGAAATAGAAGAAAATGAATTTTTAAAATCTTTTCCCAAGTTTTGCCAATTCAGGTAAATTTGAAGTTATTTTTTAAAATTTAATTTTCTTGTTCTGCATCAAGCAAAACGAATTTGTTGCTTTGTGTCGGGTGTGCAACGTGTAGCGCGTCGGCGCGGCGCATCGAATCGCGGCCTCTTTTTTGTTTCTGTTTTTTTGCGGCAACTGCGTGGCCAAAAAATGCTCACAGCGTTGCAGATTGCATTCGATGCGCAGACGCAAAATGGGCATTGGGGCAGGCAGCTGCCCGCCTGAGCAGGGGGCAAGCGAGCGGAAAACGCAGCCGGTTGGGAGATGGCAGAGACTGTGGCCAAGTCGGGTTTGCCCTTTTGCATTTGGCAGCAAAAAAAAACAGCACAAAGCGGCATTAATAACACATTTCAGACACTTGGCCGGCCGTTTGTTTGTGGCCCAAAAGCGTGAAACGGCTTTCGTAGCTAGTCTACCTCTCTCTCTCTCTCTCTGTCTCTGCCTGCGTCTATGCGGTTGGCCTGTCTATTAGGTTGATTGCCTTTCAGTTTTAGGCCTGGCCTATGCCGATGATGATAATCATAATAATGATAATGCTGATGCTGATGATGATGATGATGATGATGATGGGGGCCCTGACACTTGTTGGCATTGTTGAAGCCTGACTGCAGCATCATTAAATTATTATTGCCTCTGGGTCATAATAGACACACTAACAAAGAGAGCGAGAGGTGGGAGAAAGAGCAAGTGAGATGGATGCCACCTCGATCTGACAATAGTTCACAGGCGGCTGCCTTAAAGCTAACAAAAGAACTCAAAAAAGAATCGAAACGAGATTCAAACTTCAATTGAAGACGACTTGGAAATGCCGCCTAAGAATTTGGAATATCGTGAAAATTCGAAATCTCAACTGAACCAAATGATATAGATATGTATCTGGCTATATATGTCGACCATACTGTATAGCTGCATGCAGTATTTCACAGTATTTCGGAACTGAAGGGTATACAAATTGGATATAGCGTGCCTAATGCGCTGTTCCACATGACCAGCGGCGGTGCGCTGAGTCAGTGTGCGAGTGTGTGGCTGGCTATTGACTGCCCTAATGTACCTTAATTATAGCCACAGCAACAAGTATCTTGGCCAAGACAACAAAGCAAGGCAAAGCAAAGCTCAAGTTGCGGCAGCTGAAAGAATGCGAAACTGAGACTCAGCTCCAGCTCGATGAATGTTGGTCGCCAAGCGAAGGTGGAGTTGAGGCTGTAGCTCGGTCGGGACCTGGTCTTGGGACCGCATGTCAACCCATCAAATGCATGTCAAAGTGCCGCACTGGGAGTCACAATGCCCGCTTTTTGTTATTTTTTTTTTGCTCTTGCTCTCAGCTTTTTGGGCTCTTTCCTGAGAAAACGTCTCACCAATTTGATGCAGTCCTTTTTATTTTTTTTTTTTTATTTTTATTTATTTTTTTGGTTTGTGGCTAAGATACGCGTTAAGCGCAGGCCCAAATCCGCAACCCTTTTTGGTCGTCTTCTAGACGAAAATTCCGCAAACTCATAAATTTTTTATGCCTCGCTCGGGACGATCGGGGTTCGTCATCGTCAGCGTCAGCGTCATCCTCATCGTCATCATTTGACGGACATGTCTGGAGACCGTTTGCCTTTATTATTATGTATCATAATTTCTTGTCTCTCTTTGCTTTTTGGTTTTTGCTTGCGGATCATTTCGATTGAAGTTGTTTCTGGCTTCGCAATTAATAGTCGCAAGTCGGAAACGATTTGGTGTTTTTCTTTTTCTTTTTGCTTTTCCCATTTGCAGGCATTCGATGCATTGCGTGTAATTAGCCCGTAATTGCGCTCAACACTTGCGACTGGGCATGGGAAGCCATATCGATATTGACTCACCTGCTGCATCGCCTGGCCCCCGCCCAGCACCCCACTCAGCGGTCACATGTGCGAAGTTTGTCGCTAATTTTCACACAAGCCACATGTGTCAGCAGCTAATGAAAAACTCAACAATGTTGTCAGACTCTAGCTTCAGCTGCTGCAGCGACTATCAAATGCTCTGCAGCCGAACACAACTCAAGCTAAAGTCAGAGCAGAAGCCAATGTTAAAGCAATGTTAGAGCAATGTTAATGCTTAACATAAAACTAGCCAACATTATTTCGAATTACTCATTATATTCCTTTAAAATTCTATTTCTATGTGGAGGTTGCGTGAGAGATCCCAAGGTTCTTGATAGGGAGTCGATCTAGCTATATGTTCGCCTGATCAGCTATTCGTTCGTTCATCCGTCCATTTGTCGACTCATCTGTCCTTTGCTTTCGCTTATGCATAATCTACATTCAGACTTATGTCCTGCCATCAGTCCTTCCGTCCGTGCTTCCATTTGTTCTTTTGTCTGTCTATCCTGCTGTCCGCCCTTCCGTCTGTCCGTCAGTACTTCTGTTCGTATATCAGTCTATCCTTCCGTTCGTCCATCAGCCCGTCCGTCCTTCCGTTGGCAGGTCGTGTGGAAGGACGGACGCATGGATAGACGAATGGACGGACTGAAGAATAGCGAAGAAAGGACGTACTGTCCTTCCGTCCGTCCTTCCTCCTCTATTCTTCAGTCCGTCCTTCGCTTTCTATTCTTTAGTCCGTCCTTACGTCTATCCATCCGTCCGTCCTTCCACCCGACCTGCCATCCATCTATCCTTCTATCTGTCCATCCTTCCGTCCATTCTACGAACTGTCCATCCTTTTATCCGTTCTTCCGTTCGTCCTTCCATCAATCCTTCCATCTGTCTGGCTGTCTGTCCGTCCCTCCATTCGTCCATTCTTCCGTCTGTCCTTCCATCCGTCCTTCCGTCTGCCTTCCGTTCGTCTATTCTTCTGCCCGTCCTTTCGTCTGTCATCCATCTATACTTCTGTCTGTCCATCCTTTTATCCGTTCGTCCTTCCATCGATCTTTCTGACCTACTCGATAGAAAAAGGGCTTTCCTTGGGTAACTGGACGATTATAGATTATCGCTTATATAGTATTATAGATGTATTATAATGCCAAACTGCCAACATCATTTGATAATTGGTTAAAGATGAAAGAATTCCCTTGCTGCTTTAGTTTGCTTTACAAAATGTCTCACAGACTGCGAATGCTAGAGAAACAAAACTATTTAATTGACTGTAAACAAATGCAATTAGATATTTTTGCTGTCGTTCATGTTTTTTTTTTTCAATTTTATATTGTTAACATTTGTTGTTGTTGTTGTTGTGACTAGACGCGATTCGGTCGGCAAAAGAACAAAGAGATAAACGCGCAAAGCTCGTCTACGTTTGACTACAATTTTATTGCATTTTTATTAGATAAAATTATAGACATCAATGAAGAACAGCAACAGCAACAACAACAAAAACAATTAACAAAAGCCAACGGCGCCGACGCCCCTGTCCAGGTGTGAGGTGTGAATGGGAACGCCGACAATTTTATTGTTTAAATTTTTTATTTTTCTTTTGTTTAGAATTGTTGTTGCTTTTTTGTTAGTATTTGTTGTTTCACTTTGCGCAAATATTTGCTCTTTTTTCTAACGTGGCGAACAGCGCATTTTGATCTAATTATTTGGCGGCAAACTTTCAAGTTTGCCTGCGGCCCAAGCACACGCGAGTCTTAATTGATAAAGCTGCGGATCTATGAAGATTGTGTCAGATATAAGCGGGCCAGCAATGCCCAGCAACTTGAGTTGTGAATCGAGTAAGGTTTCAAGGCAGTTGTCCATAGAATCGATACACTTTATAAATGTTTCTAAGGCAGCCCTTGTAGTCTAGCAGATGATTAGACACGCGAATAGTATACTGCTTCTATGGAGTACAAGTCTATAGCATACTGCTTCATCAAACAATTTCATAATGCATAAACAACAATCTAACATAGTTGCCAGAAGAAAGGTCTCCAGAGGCTATACCCCATCGCTTCATTTAAGTGTCATCTCAGTATGGAAATTGGCCCTCACCTCGTCTAAATCAATCTTTACATCATTTAAAACTTTAGCTACAGCAAACTAGCAAAGCATTGACAAATTTTGCAAACTAAAGAAAAGAATTCAATAAAAATAACTTTGTCTAATCAGATTATATAAATCCAATCAGACAGAGTTAGATAAAAGATTTCTCTACTTTTAGATTGTTGAAATATGTTGATTATTCAGCAGTCTATTCATTATGAGCTGGACTTCTATCGCTGCACAAGATTTCAGTTGCAATTGAAAACTTTCCCACTTCAGAGTTTTCAGGCTAAAATTTCAGTTTCAGTTTCAATGTGCCTGAAGACTAAGCCTGAAGTGTATGTATATTAGCTTGAAGAAGTGTTCAGTGGAATGAAATAAAGCAGTACGAATCCACGAACCATTTTTGGTAAGCTTCTAAACTTGTGAACCTGACAGAGTCGAATCGAGAAAGTCGCTTCAATTGAGTGAGGCCCAATTGGCATAGAGAAAGACAAGCGACTCAGTCGGCATATGAATAGAGAAATTGCAACTTTTATGACTGATGCGAGCGTGACTGAAAATTGTGTCTGAGTTACCCCCTTGAGCATCAGCCGCATCAGTAAATTTCAGAGCCAAGTATCGAGCTATACTAAATACATATGCTATATGCTATACCAATATATATATACTCTATCCCTAGAGATCTTCTAATCTCTCATGAAGACAGATCTTAGACCTCTACTAACTCCCTTTAGCCTCTGTAGCTCTATTTTATAATGTAATTTATAGACTCTTCTCACTCCCTCCCTCTCTCTCTCTCTCTGTCTCTTGCAGATAGCCAAACTAGTGCCGCTGATCGAGTCTGGCTGTTCGCGGCGAGCACGTTTTTTGCTCTGCTCGGCGCTATTTCCGCTCTGCAGCCCGGATGTGCCACGCCCCGTGACGGCCTGCAAGTCGCTGTGCGAGACGGTCAAGGGCGAGTGTGCGGCGAACGCGGCGCCAGAGCTGATGCAGCTGTGGCCGCCGTTTCTCAGCTGCGACTCGCTGCCACAGCCGGAGAATCATGAGCTCTGCATGCAAATACCGCAAGAGGCGGCGGCCAGCGAGGGCGCCAACGCGGGCATGGCAGCGGCCGGCGCAGATGGACAGCAGACGACAGCGGCCGAGCCGCCGCCGCCGCAGCAGCAGCAAATGTACTGGTCCTGGATGGCCTGGAAGATGTCCGCGCAGCTGGGCAAATCGCCGCCCAGCAACGGGGCGCTGGGCTCTGCCGCCAGCCTTGGCGGCGTCGGCAGCTTTTGTCCACAGAACTTCAGTGCGAGTCCGCTGAGCGCCGAGGAGTGCCTGCCGCAGTGCCAGCGCGACGCGTTCCATTCAACGCAGCAGAAGAAGCTGACCGAAAGTCTCGTCCTGGGCCTGTCCGCCGTGTGCTTCGTGCTGACGCTGTTCGCGCTGGTCACGTTCTGGGCGGAGCCGACGCGCTTCGGCTACCCGGAGCGTCCGGTGCTGTTCCTCTGCCTGTGCTACAATCTGTTCAGCGTCTGCTATCTGGAGCGCATCGTCTTCCATCAGGCGCGCAGTCTGGCGCTGCTGCAGGAGCCGGGCCGAGTGGGTCGCGCACCCTGCGCCCTCACCCCGCCCTGCCTGGCCTCGTACATCAGCACCTCGTATCTGAGCCTGTGCGCCGCCAGCTGGTGGCTAATCTTCGCGCTCTGCTTCTATCTGTCCTCGCACAAGAAGTGGTCGAGCGAGGCGCTCGAGAAACGCTCCGGCCTGTTCCATGTGCTCGCCTGGGTGCCGCCGCTGGCGCCGCCCATTGCCGCGCTGCTGCTGGAGCGCGTGCGTCCCAGCGAGCTGACCGGCATGTGCACAGCGCCCGGCTTTGTGGAGCTGCCAGCGCTGGCGCTGCTGCTCCTGGGGCTCTACTTCACGCTGCGCGCCTCCCGCTCGCTGCACACGCTGCAGCAGCAGCTGCAGCCGACGCTGGCGCATCAGCGTTTCGCCCAGATACGCAAACGTTTCGTGATCTTCTCGCTGCTCTTCTTTGTGCCAACGGCGGCCGGCGTGGTGGCCGCCTTCTGTGAACGGTACGTGGACGCGGTGCCCAGCTGCCCGACGCCGGAGGAGTGCGTGCAGCCGGCACAGCTGAGCGCCTGGCCGGCGCTGGTGCGCATCTTCTTTCAGCTGGTGGGCGGCACGCTGACCGGCATGTGGGTGTGGTCGCGCAAGACATGCGAGAGCTATCGCAGCCGCCTGGTGGCCGGCGGCTCGCCCAGCTCCTCGCTGATGACGCAGCACAAGTCATCAGCGGCCGCGTTGCCCAAGAAGCATCTCTATGCCAGCGGCAAATCGATGCTGGCCGTCACGGCGCCCCCAGCATCCGCCCAGGCGCCGCTCTACGCCGGCATCAGCTTCCACAACGTGCCCGTCTACAATCCGCATCAGTCGCGCGTGTAGCAGCCACAGCGGCACAGAGACGCGGCCTGGCCGGATCTCAGCCTTGTACATATAGCTCGGGCAGGCTGCACGTTGCCACCAGCTGAGTCAGCTCTGATCAGCCCCAGCTAGCCCCTAGACCCTAAGCCTAAATCAAAAATGTGTTAATAGCTTTAAAGTCAATTTGAGTAATTCATTATCTGTAAATAGTTTTTTTTTCTAATTATTTTTTTATTATTATTATTATTATTGATAGTAATTAAGTTGATTAACAAAGAAAACAACAAACGGAAAATATATAATATAAAATTATTGCAAATATTAATTTTAATATTTATTTGACCAAGCGCATATGGGGCAGAAGGCGTGGCAGTGAACATAGAATATATATATATATATATATATGTGCTTGAACAGATCGACGAGCTGAGTAAGTCTAGCTCTGCACGTCTGTCACAAAAGCTAGAGATTTGAGCTTTTAAATATATAAATTGTATGAGCTAAGCAATAGCTAAGCATTTTTATCGATAACTCTATATTTTTACTATCGATAATAATCGATCATTTGATTTGGTTTGGCCAAAAGCTAAAGCTTTCAATCGATCATTTGATTTAATATTTGAAGCATAGCTTGAGTAACACAGGAGCTGCAGCTTTCTAATTTGCTGTGTAGATTTCTGTGCTGTAGAAGCATAAGAAGAGAAGATGAGCAATAAGAGTATTCCGGATTTGAAATAAACTTTTACCTGCAAAGCTTTTCGAACATTACAAATTTGTGCTTTAACAAGTCCTTCATACGCTCTAAGAATATAGTTACGAAAGTGTATTGAGTACAAAAGTTATTCAAAATCTTATACTGTGTGTGTGTGTGTGTGTGTTCATGTGTGTGCTAGGCTATGCTACTCTGCATGCAGCACAAAAAGTGCACAGTGCACAGTGCTCAGTGTTCAGGGTATCAGCTAGTCGAGCACTTCCCACTAGAGCACTCTTACTTGTTGCTTATCAGCTTCGCTTGTTGATAAGATACGATCTATTTTTGAGCTAGGACATATGATCCTTTACTCAATTAGTTGTAGCTCGTCTCAAATCATATTTTTGAAGGAAATCATATTTTTAAGCTTTTGAACTCAGCTTCGAAAGTGGAGTTCGCTGTTGCATTGAAACTCTGAGCTGCAGTTGAGGCCTTCTAGCGCCTTAGCTAATATAATTTATATAATATAACAAATAAATATTTGATTTTTGAAAACTTCAAATATATAATAGAAAATATTAGATTTAAATAGGACATGCAAATTTCAAAGATAAAACCATTTGAAGCTTACTTCAAATGCTTTTTAATAATTTACTATTTACAAGTAAATTTAAGCGATAGAAAATACAGAATACATTGCTTAGGGTAGCATTAGTTAATGTCTACAGCAAAAGCTTTAGGGCATATTTGATATATTTGAAGTGAAGACCTGGCCAGGTGGCAGATATTTAGGCCTAGCCAGGCTGTTTGGCTAAGCATTTAGTCTCGCTAGGTATTTTTTAGCTGCTGTCAGCTGCAGATCTCTCTCTTGATGTAAATCTGATTCACAAATCGATCGATCGATCAAGCAACAAGAGGATTTGCTTTGAAGTCGCATCAAAGTTGTGGCTTGAAAAGTTGAAAATTTAAAACTTTTAACAGCGAGTCAGAAAGCTTTATGCTTCAACTGTGAGTTAATAATATTAAAAACATATTTGACAACATTGTTGTGGCCGTTCTATGCTGCTGGCCAATTACCAAGCTATGCTGCGGCAGATGCACAAAACAAAAATTTAGTAGAATTTTAATAGCAACGAGAGCCGCCAGAGTCTGAACGAAATTAAGTTAATTGCGACTACTGTATTTTTTTGTGGAGTGCAGTGAAGTGGAGTCAGGGCTGCACTGAGACGGAGGCGTGGCGAGTGAGAGGGGCAGAGGTAGGCAGAGGGGCTGGGCAATTAGACATGAGTTTAATGAGAGCCTCTCAAATTGATGGCAACAATTTGGGTTCGTCTGTTAACATGTGTGTGAGCGAGTGTGTGCGTGTGTGCCACATGCTCAGCTGTTGCGCATTGATGTTGACGTAGCTGCAGCTCGCTGTGGCAACCCTTTTGTACGCCACCCTGCGAGTGTCACAGAACAACAACAGCAGCAGCAGCAGCACGCAATTAATTTGATTGAAGCTGCCACACGGCGTGCCTGGCAACGTTTCTATCTTACAAATTGCTACGCTGCAGCGGCGGCAGCAGCACGAACAACAAAAGCCACTGTGCAGCAAGCGTGCAATTAACTGTTGTGCGCCAAGATCAAAGCGATTAAAGCCGCTGCCGCGACTAAAAAAAAACTCTTTATATATATAAACTCGGACTTTGCCCGCGCCCCTTTGACTAAAAGCGAAACCCTGCAAGACGAGTCAAGTCGAGTCGACTCGAACCAATGAAGCTTTATCGTCATCATCATCATCATCATCATCATTATCATTGGTTGTTTTTAGCTGGCCAAACAACAAAAGAACGTGGCCCAAAATGCCAAAAGGGAGCAGAGCAGACAGCGACGGCAGCGGCAGGGGCGGATCTTTGCAGGTGGATGGCCAGCCGGTGCTCTGGCATCGTGTAAGCGGCTCAAATGATTGTTGGCCATTTACAAGTGTTAAATGTGCATAAAACTTGGCCAGCATTCAGTCGGCGTTTCAGCTTTTGCCAGCAACGGCAATTTCCATTATAAATGCGTTCCATTTGGCCAGTGGGGGCGCAACATGCGTCCCACTTGGCTAATAACTCATTCGGCATGTTGACCAAAAGCCGCTTACCGTTCCCTTCTTAGCTGCTTCTGCTGTGCCCTGCCTTAGAAAGCCTCTGCACAATGTGGTCAATGGTCATGTGAGTTCAGCTTGCTGGAGCCACATGTGGCTCAAGATCTCTGAGTGAGACTTGTGCTGAATCTTTGAATCCCTTATGGAAATCTGACAGAACTCGAAATGAGGCGAGGTATATGCTAGTCGGCTATGGCCTGCAGTCTTCTCTATCTATTCCGTTTAGAGATATTGCATCGATCAGCTTTACCAATCGAGAAGCCACAATTTCTGAGCAATCAATGGAGAATGCCAGCAACAGGCACAATTATCAAAACTTATCTAGTTTCTAGCTCTTAGGTTTACCTGCCTTGGTCATAGATACATCTACTATATATTTTTTAACTTAAGTAGTCAAGCTGTGTTTACTTTAGAGCTTTACAACTTTGAGTTGGATAGTCCATAAAACAATTGATAATTGCCTTTAGTTGAAATTTGCTTAAAATTTTATTTAAACAAATTGCTAAAATATTTTATAAATTAATTGCTTTAATGCACTTGCTGAAGCCCACACAATAAATGTAAAGTTTTAAATCTGCTTTAGCGTATATAGATTGCCTGCTTATCCACGCCCCCAATGGGCGCATTAATCAAATTTCAAAAGATATTAAAATGATTTTCTTTGCTGCACTTAGCAAGCCACAAATAAATTCGTCGCGTTAAATCTCAATAAAAATTAAAAAAGAAAAAAGAGAGAAAAATAAATACGAATTTTCATTGCTTTTGTGTATGCGTGGCAAGTGCAGGGTATCCTCCAGTCGCTCACTCGCTACTACGCAGCTCGCAGCTTCTAATATTTACGCAGCAGCCTCAAAGTATGCAATGCTTTTTATGGTAGTCGCAGAAGCAGCCGCAGCTTTAAGCTATGCAACAGGAATCCAGTGCAGAATGTTTAAAAATTTATGAAATTAAATAAAATAAAATTATTAATTGTATAATATGTACTCATACATATCGATAACATGGCATAGTTGAGCTAAGCCAAACATCGATAACAATTGGCCAAGGCAGCTCTAAGCTTTGGCGCAGCTGTTTTGGGTCGGCCAAGACCGGTTTTCTGTTGACTGGCTTCGACTGTTATGATTGCGAGAGAATGAAAGAATGCCAGAGGAGAAAGCATTCTTGCTGTAGGCCAGCTTTGTCTGCCGCTGCTGTTGACGTGTGCAACAGCCAAGAAAAGCTGAAGAAAAAAGTTTTTGATATCAAATTTTTTTTATGTTTTTATTCAAATTGCGCTTGAAATATGGCCGCGAGTGTTGTTAAGGCGCCCAAGTGCACGGCGAAAGCCAAAGATGTGGCCCAAGCCAAGCCCGCCCAGGCCAACGAGGACAGCGGGTAAAACAAAAGACTGAAGCAACAAACTCAATGCACAAAACTCATTTTCCATTTGTCTACGTGCAGGCGCAGGTGGACGCTGCTGGGCGTCGTTTTACTCATCACCTTTGCCACACGCTTCTACAAGGTAACCGAGCCAGATCATATTTGGTAAGCATTCGGCCATTGCCCCATCCAATTGGCTCCAATCAGAATCCACTCAATACACTTTGCAGCTGGGACGAGACACACTTTGGCAAAATGGGCAGCTGGTACATAAATCGCACCTTCTTTTTCGATGTGCATCCGCCGCTGGGAAAGGTGAGTCGAGATCCAAAAACCTGCAATTTTGGAGTGGCATTTGCTTCGCTTTTTTGTTTCGGCTTCGTTCAAGTCGTTCTTTCCTTCTCGCTCTCTCCCTCTCTCTCTGTCTCTATCTGTGCATCTTTGTCTCTCTTTCCTTCGCTTTCTCTGTCTCTTTATATCCTCTGTTCCTTCCTACCATTCTGTCAATCTGGCTATACCTTTCTATCTCTCTGTCTTGCTCTCCTTCTATATCTTTCCTTTTCTTTGCCTCTCGCATTTAATTTCTCTCTCACTCTCTCCTATCTTTCTCTCTTCTATCTTTATCTCTCTCTATCTTACTCTCACTCTCTATCTTTCTCTCTCTCTCTGTCTTTCTCTCTGCTATCTTTCTCTCTGCTATCTTTCTCTCTCTCTCTCTCTCTGCCTTTATTTATCATTATATCTCCTCCTTTCGGTATATCTATCCCTCCCTACCTGTCCTTTACTTTTCGCTCTCTCTCTCTCTCTCTCTCAGCTATCTTTCCATCTTCTCTATCTTCGCTATTTACCAATCTGTTATCTATTGCTATCCCTCTTTCTCGTTCTTTCTATCTTCCTCTCTCTCTCACCCCTCTCCCTCCCTTTCCCATTCGCCTCTTCTCTGCTCCTACTCTCTGCCCCTGCTTCCTCCCTCTACCCTCCCACACCTCACACTCAATTCATGTCCTTCTCATTCCCTTCGATTCTCTCAACTGCAGATGCTTATTGGTCTCTCCGGCTATTTGACCGGCTACAATGGGACCTTCCCCTTCGATAAGCCTGGCGACAAGTACAATGAGACGCGCTATCAGGGCATGCGCTATGTGAGTATCAGGCTTGCTCTCTCCTAGTGGCTGGCTAATCTATTGCCTTGCAGTTCTGTACTACGCTGGGCGCACTCATCATGCCCATGGGCTTCGACACGGTCTACGATTTGACGCGCTCGCACGAGGCGGCGCTGCTGTCGGCAGCCTACCTCATCTTTGGTAAGCTTGAACCCTGGTCAATTCCCACTGTCAACTCACTTCAACTTGTCCTGGCAGATGTGGGTCTGCTGACACTCAACCAGTATATACTGCTGGATCCGATTTTGCTGTTCTTTATGATGGGCTCGGTGTGGGGCATGGTCAAGATATCGAAGTGCACGGCCGCAGGCGGCTCCTATACGAGGCGCTGGTGGCTCTGGCTGCTGCTCACCGGCACGATGCTCTCCTGCACGATAAGCGTGAAGTTTGTGGGCCTGTTTGTGGTGCTGCTGGTGGGCCTGCACACGGCAAGCGAGCTCTGGCTGATACTCGGCGACTTGGGCAAGCCCATTGTGGAGACAGTCAAGCAGCTGGTGTGTCGCGCCATCGCGCTCATCCTCTGGCCCATTCTGCTCTACACGATCTTCTTCTACATCCATCTGCGTGTGCTGAATCGCAGCGGCAACGGCGACGGCTTCTACAGCTCGGCGTTTCAGTCGCGGCTCATCGGCAACTCGCTGTACAATGCGAGCATGCCGCGAGATGTGGCCTACGGCTCGCTGGTGACCATCAAGAACCATAAGACGGGCGGCGGCTATTTGCACTCGCACTCGCATCTCTATCCCAAGGGCAGCGGCGCACGGCAGCAGCAGGTGAGCGGCGGACAGGTGGGTCCAATAGGCTGGCTCTAATCAATGTTCATCTCTGTAGATCACCACGTATACGCACAAGGACGACAACAACATCTGGCTGATTAAGCCGTACAACAAGCCGGAGTTGCCCAAGGACGAGCTGCGTCTGCTGCGGCACGGCGATCTCTTGCGCCTGGAGCATCTGGTGACCAAGCGCAATCTGCACTCGCATAGCGAACCGGCGCCCATGACCAAAAAGCATCTGCAAGTCACCGGCTATGGCGAGGTGAGTGGAGCCGAGCTCAGCGCGATCAAAGCTAATTTGTTTTTGTTTTTGTTTTTGTTCTCGTTTTGTCAGCTCGGCGTGGGCGATGCCAACGATGTGTGGCGCGTGCTCATCGTGGGCGGCAGAGCCAATGACACCATACACACAGTGACATCGCGGCTTATGTTCGTGCACTATCTGCAGAACTGTGTGCTCACGTCCAGCGGCAAGCAGCTGCCCAAGTGGGGCTTCGAGCAGCAGGAGGTCTCCTGCAATCTGAACATACGGGACAAGAATGCCCAATGGAATGTGGAGGATAATCAGCATAAGCTACGTAAGAGCTCCCCCTCCCTCCCTCCCTCTTTCTCCCTCTCTTTCTAATGGTAATTCGCCTTCTGCAGTGCCCAGCGTGAGCTTCAGCATCTATGCGCCGGGCTTCTTTGCACGCTTCATTGAGTCGCATGCGGTCATGCTGCAGGGCAATGCAGGCCTCAAGCCCAAGGAGGGCGAAGTGACCAGCCGACCTTGGCAATGGCCCATTAACTATCGGGTAAGTCAAGGCTGCCGTCAGAGTCTGAGCCTCGCCGTTTGCGTTGATTAATCTCGAGCGTTTGCTCGTTTCAGGGCCAATTCTTCTCTGGCAGCAGCTATCGCATTTATTTGCTGGGCAACCCTTTCATCTGGTGGAGCAATCTGATCTTTCTGCTGCTCTTCATCAGCATCTTTCTGGGCAACGCCATTCTGCAGCAACGTCGCGCCGGTCAAGCAGCCCTCCAAGCCGCCGCCGTAGACCGGCCAACCAGCCAAGAACTGTGCAGCTGCTGTCCGGCGGACAGCTGGACAAAGCCACCTGACAGCCGCGTGGTGTCCGCACAGAGCCAACAGCACATGTCCTTGCAGGCAGCTGCCTGGCTATTCATTGGCTGGCTTCTGCACTACTTGCCCTTCTGGGCCATGGGTCGCGTGCTCTACTTCCATCACTATTTCCCAGCTCTAATATTCAACTCATTGCTCACAGGTAAGTGCCGGAGCGTATACTCTATACGTATACAGCTGCGCTGTGCTGTCTGATTGGTAGGCATCAGACTTCATCTTCATAAGCTGTGAATGCAACTCAGTCTGTAGTACAAAGGGTATTCAACTTACCATGCAAATTAGTTAGTATAGGGTATTCGCTAGTCGATGACTTTTAACATATTGAATAAGGAAAATTGTCTAGCTGTAGACTTTACTCAGCGAATATGTCAATCAACTTATGCTTTAGAACTGACAAGTTCAGTTATGTGCATTATGCATCAGTATAGAGTATTCAACAGTCGGTCATATTCAACATATTCAATTGTTATCTACATTAAATGGTCCAACTGTAGTTTGTACTTCACAAATATGTGAATCATGTTATGCCAAACTCAGTTCCGCTTATGTTATGGTTAGAATAGGGTATAAGCAAGTCGGATACTTTCTTTCTTTCATCTACTGCTGCATCTTCTCATATCCTTCTTCATATTTTCTTCTCCTCTTAATGCATTATTTTTATCTTGAATAATGATTAAGCTTATTATAGGGTATAAGCAAGTCGGATACTTTCTTTCTTTCATCTTCTGCTGCATCTTCTCATATCCTTCTTTATCTTCTCATATCCTTCTTCATCTTCTCTTATCCTTCTTTAGGCATTATGTTCATCTTGCACAGGGATTAATATTAGTACAGGGTATTCACAAGTCGGATACTTTCTTTCGCTCATCTACTACTGCATCTTCTCACTTCCTTCCTCAGCTTCTCTTCTCCTTCTTCAGGCCTATTGTTCATCTTGAACAATGATTAAGATTAGTATAGGGTATTAGCAAGTCGAATACTTTCATTCTGTCAAGTAGTTCTTCATCTTGTCATACAGTTCCTCATCTGCTCATCTCTTTCCTCAGGCATTATGCTCATCTTGAGTTATGCTTAAGATTAGTTCAGGGTGTTTTCAAGTCGGATACTTTCATCTCCTTAGGTTCACCTTATATTACGTTTAACATTAGTCTAGGGTAATCGCAATCATCTTCTTCTTCTTCTTCTTCATCATCTTCCCAGGCATTATGTTCAACTATATAATCCGATCGCTGCCCAAATGGCTGCAGCATGCGCTGCTCGGCTCGCTGCTCTCAGTGGTCGTCTATAGCTTCGTGCTGTTCTCGCCGCTGGCCTACGGCATGAGCGGACCGCTGGCCAACGAGCCCAACTCAACGATGCACAAGCTCAAGTGGCTGTCGACCTGGGAGTTTTAGCGAATATATATTTATTTATTTAAATCAATTTGTGTCCAGAAAAAATGCGCTTCAATTAAATACACAAAAAAAATATATATTTTTTTTAAATAAAAAAAAAAAAAATATCAACATATGTATATCTTAGCCGTATGACAATAAAAAAAAAATATAGATAACCAGATGCAAGTTATAAATATAAATAAAGCATTCGCATTCGCAGTCGCAGTCGCACTCTCAGTCGAAGATGCCCAGCTCATCGAATCGCCGCAGTGCATAGCGCAGGGTGTCCGTGGTGCGTGGATTTGAGGAGAACATCAGCTGGACTTTCTTTTTGGCAAAGTCCTGATCGGTGAGCGCCTCAATGCTGATGTCATAGGAGTCCTCCTTCTTCATGGTGACCATGGGCAGAAAGGCATACGACGAGAAGAAGCCGTACAGCTCCCGGGCATTGATCTCGTGCTGTATGTCCGCATAGCTGGGCACAAACTCGGAGTGCATGCGCTCGAGGCTCTCGCGCAGCGATGCATAGTACGTCTGTATGAGGAACTCGCGCCTGTGGATCAGCACGTCCAGCTGGACGCTGCTATTGAGAAAGAAGTTGATGTCGCAGCCGGGACTGCCGAAGAAGCTGTTCTGAAAGTCCACCTAGGAGAGCGAAGCGTTAGGATTCATTGCGACAATTTGACGGCGCTCGCAAACAACTCACAAAGATGGCATCGATGGGCTTTGTGGGCAGCTCATCGTGGTATTTGTACATGAAGTTGTTGACCCACAGGTCGCCATGGTTGAGCACCGTTATTTCGCCAGGTGTCGGCCGGCCGGTCAGCACCAGATTCTCCTTGATATTGTCGCAGTGGCGATGCAGCTTCTCCGCCAGCTGCTCATAGCCAGCCCACTTGGCCACCAAATTGGCCAGCGTGCGCAGCTGGAGTGTCATAAAGTTAATGAAGCGCTCATTGGTGCGTATATAGTTCTCGTCCAGCATGCCGCTAGTGAAATGTTCCCGCACCCCGGACTCCTGCGAGAGACAAAAGTCGATTATAGAGAGAGAGAGAGAGAGAGTCAATCCCACAAATTGGCTTACCTTCTCGGCCAGCAGCATGGAGCTGGCATGGAATTTGCCCAACTTCTTCAGTATGATCACACAGTGCTCCTCGTTGAGGCCGCTCTGGCGATTGGCCAGCTTGTAGCCGTACTGTGTGAGGTCATCGAAGACGATCGTTTGGATGGGCTCGCGCGTTGTATAGAAGCACTTGGCGCCAAACTTTGAACCGTCGCCGATTAGCACCTCCAGCTTGCCGAGCACATCGAAATAGAAGATCTTCTCGCGCAGATAGACGGCCAGCTCCTCGAGGAACTGTGTGGCCGGCGTTATCGCTATGCTCTTGACAATCAATGCCAGCTCCTCGTCCAGCTGGCGTTTGCTGCTCCGATAGAGGGCTCGGGCTCTATAGATCTTGCTGCAATAGTTCTCACCGCCGCCGCCGCCGCTCGAGTCGGCGAATATGATCTTCTTGATGTCGACGCGCATGTCGCGCAGGCCATCCTCGAGAGCGGCCTTGAAGAAGTCCTCGTTGAGATACTTGGGCGGCTCGCTGATGCGCTTCTCGCCTTCCAGCTTCATGCTGTACGCTTCAACCTTCAATCTGCCTGAGCTGCGAATCGAAACTAACTGATGCCCTTTTGTCCCGGTCGATGTAGTCCTTAAAGCAATTCAACTTTGGCTGTCTGTTTGGCTGGGTCTCTCGTATCCTGCCGGTATTTATATATATCCTTTGAGCGAATGCGTTGTACCTGCTGCCTTGGGCTGTGTCGCTTGGAAAACTGTGGCCGGGCCAGGCGACTTCTCTAAATATAAGTCTGATTATCGACTTTTGCCACGGCGCTTATCAAAGTTGGGTCGACATTAGCTTCGTGCCGACATCGGCAAACGGCAACGGAACGGCAATCGGCGAATCAATACGCGCTAAGTCTAATGCACATGACATGGACACACATACACAGAGGCAGATCTATATATACTATATATACATATACTTGCTGTATACTACGTAGCTTTAAAGAGATGGGCAGTCGACTGAACTGAACTGTCGTGTTATAATCATAATATTTGCCAATTAATCTATCTAATAAATCGTCGAGTGGCCACTGCGACGCAGTGCATATCAGAGCTAATGCTGCCACCTCGCGCAGCCCGTCCTCCCCGACAAGAACTGACTGAACTGAACTGAAAACTTGAGCCAAGAGTCTACTATACTACCTACTATATACACATTTGCCGTGCCATGGCTCCAGTCGAGTGATAAACATCTCCATGCGTCTCTATGCGAAAGTATTTATAGACAGTCGAAAAGTTTCACGGGATGCTGGGCTGATCTCTATTTTTTATTGCCAAATGCACATGGTTTTTGTATTCCATTCAATTTGTATATTATATATATAGTATATACAATTGGACCTATAGGAATATGAATGGTTGGCAACCAACCGGAACTTATGAAAGCAGTGGGACATTGAACCGAGACTAAAAACTATATATATATAGTATATGAGTGTGAGTGTGAGTGTGAGTATGAGTATGAGTATGAGTATGAGTATGAGTATGAGTATGAGTATGAGTATGAGTGTGAGTGTGAATGTGAGTGTGAGTGTGAGTGTGAGTGTGAGTGTGAGTGTGAGTGTGAGTGTGAGTGTGAGTGTGAGTGTGAGTCTGAGTGTGAGTGTGAGTGTGAGTATGAGTGTGAGTGTGAGTGTGAGTGTGAGTGTGAGTGTGAGTGTGAGTGTGAGTGTGAGTGTGAGTGTGAGTGTGAGTGTGAGTGTGAGTGTGAGTGTGAGTGTGAGTGTGAGTGTGAGTGTGAGTGTGAGTGTGAGTGTGAGTGTGAGTGTGAGTGTGAGTGTGAGTGTGAGTGTGAGTGTGAGTGTGAGTGTGAGTGTGAGTGAGTCTATTTATCTATTTATCTATTTATCTATTTATCTATTTATCTATTTATCTATTTATCTATTTATCTATTTATCTATTTATTTATTTATCTATTTATCTATTTATCTATTTATCTTTTGATCTATTTATCTATTTATCTATCTATCTATCTATCAATCTATCTATCTGTCTATCTTTTTATCTACTTATCTATCTATCTATATATAGTATTCTGTTTACGTACTGCCTCTCTCTGCAATTCTCATGCTGTTTTTTCAACATTTCAGATCTAATTTTCTGTTATATTCACATATATATGTATAGTATGAGCCTAATCGCTCTGACTTACCCTATATATAGACATTGACAATGCATTTGATAGGGAACTGAACTTAGGTACTTGCACAGAGAAAGATATTATTACAGTTACAGTTGGCTTACAGTTTTGCACGTGTTTCTATGGGTTTTTAGGGTTTACGGCTTATCAGTTGTTAACTACCTTCGTGTATGCCTTGAACCAACAACCTGCCCGATAATTTACTATCTCTATCAAATTTGTTGCCAATCTACGAATTGTTCTGTGCAATTCCAAATAAAAGTGAATTTATAAGAACTTGGATTAGAGCTGAATGTAAAGCAGACTTGCTTCCGGTTCGCTCTGAATATTTGATTGAATTTCTACGCTTCACTTTCTTCGATTGGTTGATTTGCAGGCAATAAATGCACTTAGATCTGCTTTAGCTCTGGTCACAATCTGCAAGTCCCTGGAGAGATAACCTGTGTCATGTGACAGTGACTGCGAGCGACTATGTGTGCGTGTGTGTGTGTGTGGGGGTGTGTGTGTTTATGCGTGTGTTGGCGCGGAGACTGCGACACTCGCTAATGACCCATGATTGTGACTTTGAATACCCTGAACCTACTGCGAGTGTAGGGTATAATGGTTTTATGATAAAGTATGTAACAGGCAGAAGAAGGCCTGGTCAATCAGGTCTACAAGCTGCATCGATCTAGCCATGTGTGTCCGTCTTAATATCGATCGAAATGACATTAAGCTCCCCATTCAGGGTATCAGCTAGTCGGGCACTGCCGGCTCTCGCTTGTTTTTCGGTTAGCTGCAGAACAACACAAGGCGCTAGATCTGAGCAGAGGCTGGACAGAGGCTAGCTGGCTGGCTATCTGCTGCATTAATGATTGCATTTAGAGCGGATCTCTTTGTTGTGCTTGTTGTTGCGCGTTAATTACTCAATGAAAGCAACGTGCAATCAATAATTGCCGACAATTACGTCATCTGCAGCCAAAGTGCATTGGGGAAACAGTTCGTGCCGCTATGTTGATCAGATATGCTGGCCTCAAGCGAACGACGCCTTTCTCGGCGATTCTCATGACATGCTGCTACGTGCTTCAACAAAGACCAACACACACACACACACACACACTACCTGCGAGATAGAAAGCAGCTCTCAGCTAAGTCAGACGTCGCTGATACGATTATCACCGATTCACAGCCACAATAAACCGAGTCTGGCAATCGTCTAGTTTTTGCCCATCTTCAATGAGTCGAAACTACAAGCAGCGATAAGCGAACATAAACTATGACGTAGTTGCGACAGAGAAAGAACAGCTCATTGAGCTGCTGACCTTGATCAAGATGGGAACTGAGCTCTGGCGCTGTTTCCGAGACGTCTTGATAACAGCACATCGCATTGATCTTCAGGTAAGACGATAACCTGCGACTATACGACGCGTGGTACAAGTTCGAGTCAAATTAGACACAACGTGCCACAGATTTTTCCTCAAATCATGGCTCAAAGATCAACATCGTTTAGATATTGAAAAGTATTTCGTTAAGCTCTCGATATATATTTGTTTGAATGTTGCTTTGTCTGTTACAGATTCGATTTATATGGCTTCAGCCGTGGCTCCTGTATTCAAAGCCCACTGAAACTTGGAACTTGGGACAGAGGATGGCATGACACAGCCTTGAAAGCCTTAAGCTATTCATATTCATGCCTGCCTTTCATCTAGAGCCCTCCATCTGCCTGACTGTCCGTCCGTTCAGCTACACCTAGAACTCTCCTTCTTGCTTCCTATCTGTCCATTCTGCTTCATCTAGACCGATTCATCTGCCTGCCTTTCCGTCCGTCCGATCTCACCTAGACCTCTTCGTTTGCCTGACTGTCGCCTTTACCTAGGCCTCTCCTTCTTCCTTCCTAACTGTCCATCCTGCTTCATCTAGACCCGTCCATATGTCGAACTGTCCGTCCGTGCAGATTCATCTAGAGCTCTCCAACTTCTTTCCTCTACCCCCTTTCGGCTTCATCTAGACCCGTGCATCTGCCTGCCTTCACCTAGACCTCTCCACCTTCCTTCATATCTTTCCATCCTGCCTCTGTCTGACTGCCAGCCGCCCGGTCGTCGGACTTCAGCCATACCCATCTATCCATCTATCTGTCCGTCCGTCCATTTGGTCGTCCTATAAAAGCTGAAGAGAAGCATTTACGCATAACGATTCAGCTCAAGGCATCGAGAGGTTTTTTTCAATCGAAATCAATTAGAATCGATGTCAAACTGGATATATCGAACGAACTAGAGCAATCAACTAGAGAATCTCCTAAGATATAAAGCATCCTTAGAGTATTTATCCGGTCAACCGACCACATTCCTTCCCAGACTCAAAGCTCACGGATCAAATCCGTGCTGCCTGCTGCACTTGAACATATTGAAGCATTCCTAGTCTCCTAGCAGATGCGTTGTTGCGACAGATATACAAAGGTATGAAGTCCAACGTGTGTACACAATATATTGGTATACTTATGTATTAGCCTTCAGGCACTCGAGCTGGCTTGTCTTGGCATAAAAAATGCCAGCTAACTGCAATCCAGAACTTGGCAAACAGTTGGAGAGCCTGATAGTTGTGTCTACAGACGAAATCGTAGATATCGAACTAGAAGTGCCCGCGCTGCTCGTATACCTCAATAGATAATCGATAACTGCGTCTTCTAGCACATTCGAAACGTTTTCGAACTGTGTCAGAACTCAAGTAGCATCGCCTTATTTACCTTGTCCACAGCAATTCACACACACAAACCATATCTGTAGCTATTGAGCAGCGGCATGCCGCCAGATTGCAAATAGAGCTTACATATAGAAACACATATATATGTATATATATATATATTTATATAGGCAATCTGCACTCGAATCACAGACAAATTTGTATTGCTGCGCAAAAAAATGCATTAAACTTGAACTAAATTCTGCGCATTTATTGAAAGCCCAATCAAAAGTTGAATGAAAACATCTATGAATTATAAAAGACAACAGCACTGGTCAACAAGGTTTGATGCGATTTGTTAAACAGGAATCTGACTAAACTTTTCTTAAGCTAAGTCTTCCTGATCTTATAGCTGCAAGAGCTAAGTCTTTTAACTTCAACTTGCTTAGAAAACGTCTGCAATTTGATGAACAGCCCTCGCCCTCGCCCTCGCTCCACGGCCTTGCAGTGTATAGATCTTACTTTAAGCGGATGCTACCCAAACTTGGTTTCTTCACGTCAAAGACCCAAGCCCTGTTGGCCAGTGCAAGTGACAAGCCAGCAAGATCTCGTTGAGTCGCAGATCGAATACGCTGCACATGAGCACGTCGAGGGTATCTAGAAAGTCGAGCAGTTCAACATTGTCTCAAGCTTAAGTCATCTGACATATCAAACTGATTATTCCAAATAATCTGGGTCAAATAGATAGATGATCAATGCTTGAGGTGGGCTTGTCTTCTGAGCTTTATATTATTCATGAGTCAAGTTTACTTATCAACTCAAGGCACTACACAACAAGCTGCTCGCCTTTCGGTGGCTGCTTTCTTCCTGTTTACAAACTGCATTTTCTCTTCTTTTTCCACTAACGGTATTTCTCAATCTCTCGTTTTCCGGAGTCGGGGAGAGTTTCTATATATAAATATATTTATATAAACATAAATTAATATACACTCTCATACCTCTACCCCTCTACCCCTCTCTCTCTCTCTTTCATTGTCTCTTACTCTCCTTTTTATTTCTCTCTTCTTTTACTTACACATCTTTCTTTAACTCCTTCTCTCTCTCACTCGCACAATCTTTCTTTTCCTCCTCTCTTTCTGTTCGACTCTCTTTCCCACACAGTCTCTTCCACTCTGCCTATCTCACACTCTTTCTCTTTTTCTCTGTCTCTCCCGTCCATTATCCCTCTCTTTTTTTCTCTACTTCGTTCGCTCTCTCGTTTGATCTCACTCTCATTTGATCTCTCTCTCTCGTTCTCTCTCTCTCGCTATCTTTCAGTCTCTCTCTCTCTGCCTGTTACCCTCTTTCGCTAACTCTCTATCACAGTCGCTCGCTATCTCTCCCTCTCTCTCTCTCCCTCTCTCTCTCTCTCCCTCTCTCTCTCTCCCTCTCTCTCTCTCTCCCTCTCTCTGCCCCCCTCTCTCTCTCCCTCACCCTCTCTCCCTCTCTTTCCCTTATACCTATTCCCTATATATCGCTTTAACACTTTCATTTACAGACGTACGTCTGAAGAGCCCTCAGAATGGAGCCTTTCTATGCAAATCTCAGTCACAAGCATCTAACTGTTGTCTGTGTCTATTGCGACTGCAACTTGTAATTGTAGCTGGATGTCTCTGGCTGCCATTCGGTGATTAGCATCAGATTGGGATTGATGAATTTGTCGTGCCCCCTGGCGTCTATCTGGCTGTGCTGCCGTTTGGGTCGCTTCTTCGGCTGATTGGGCTTCAGCTTGGGCTTGATGAGCCACTGGATCGGCGGCTGGGGCAGATCGTGCGCCATTGGCGAGCAGAGAAGTGGCACTGCGTTATATAGATTGTGTTCGCGTCGTTCGCAACGGTTGAGCACATCCTGGACCTCATCGCTCATGACCACGTAGCTGCGCAGCTTGTTGGCACTGAAGTGGGTCAGCATGCAGTTCTCGTTGGGATCGTGTCGGTGCTGGATGAGATGCGCGGCCATCAGGACGCAGGCCACACTCACGCCGCTCATCGCGGCCAGCGAATGCAGCGGCACCAGCGGCTGCCCGTTCGGCTGCTGTGTCCAGGCGTAAACATTCTCGCCCAACAGCTGCCAGGTATCCGCTTGGGCATCGATCATCGTCCGGCGATCGTAGGCCTCCCTCTCCGCTGGCCTCGCCGCCTGCTGTAGACGCAGCAGCTGCCAACGTCAACGAACTCTAAGAGACTTGGGCTAATCACAGCTTCGCTCACCTGCATTGTACGCCTCGCATCATGGTAGCTCTTCCAGTCCCTATACGACTGATAGGGGCTCACTCTGAACGGCTGCGGCAGTTCGGGATAGTAAACCAGATTGCTGGCAAAAAAGGGCTCATCCTCAAAAGCTACCACTGGCCGAATGCCATACCAATTCCTATCAAAGGCATTCGACGAGATCTGCGGCTGCCAATCAAAAAGGCTGCGATGAGCAAACGCCTCCGCTTGGGGCTGCACCTCTGCATCGTGGATGTGTCTCTGGAAGCGCAGCCAGTTAAACATTTGGAACATTTGGAAGTAAAGTCAACAAACCTCAGCCTTGCACGAATTCATTTCAACAAACAGTCAATCGACTTATCAAAATACTTAAAACTAACTTTTGATCTGTTCCCAACACAGACGTGAAGCGACATAGAATTTCTTGTTTATACGGATTTTGATTTAACAAAGCTCGCAAAGCTTACTCGACTGATCAAGGACACTCACCAGTTGAGCTAGTCCCTACAATTGACATCGATCGAAACGGTATATAGAGCGGAGAGCAAAGTGAGGAGAGCATATTTGTATTGTGCACTGTCAGATCGTCTGTCTGTCGGCTTGTCTTTCTATCTGTCCATCTATTCATCTGTTCATCCGTCCGTCCGTCCGTCCGACCGTCCGCCTATCAGCCTGTCTCTCCCTCGCTTTCTCTCTATCTCTATCTCTATCTCAATCTCTGTCTAGCTTTTTGTCTGCCTCCATCCATTCATCCATTCGTTCATCCATTCGTCCGTCACTCCCTCGATCCGTCCGTTTGTCGGTCCGTCAGTCTGTCTACCCATCCATATATCCATCCATTCATCCATTCATCCATCCATCCATCCATCCATCCATCCATCCATCCATCCATCCATCCATCCATCCATTCGTTCTTCCATACATTCGTGCATCCATCCGTCCATCGGAGGGATCTATCGGCTTGTCTGTCCATCCATCCATCCATCCATCCATCCATCCATCCATCCATCCATCCATTTATCCATCCATTCATCAACTCATCCATTCATCCATCCGCCCGTTCATCTGATCGTCTGTCTATCCATCCATCCGTCCGTCCCTTCATCCATCCATTCGTGCATCCATCCGTCCATCGGAGGGATCTGTCGATATGTCTGTCCATCCATCCATCCCTCCCACCATCTGTTCGTCTGTCCGTCCGTCCGCCCATCATGACGTTACAAAACTAAGCAAGTTTCATTGTTGAGCTCGGCACGTCAGAGGCGCTTGAAAGCTTCTAGCTCAAAGTCTTGGCTACTCTACTTCGTTAGCCTTGTGCCTATGGCTGCTTATCGATAAGTTCCCCGATAAAGCCGAACATCAGCTGCGGCAAATGATGCTGCAGCCGTGGGCACTGAAGGAAAATGAGAGCTTTGTGTAAGCTTAGACAACTTCTAGCTGCATTCGTGATTGAATTTTCATTTTCCATTTATTGTTGCTGTTTTGAACTTATTTCTTCAGTTTATATTTTTATTTTTTTTTTTTTTTTGCACGTTTCAAGCTCACGTCGCTGCTTAGTTGATAAACGAACGCGTTTGCGAGCGGACCTGCCACAAGGCAAAAGCCAAAGAAATTAATAAGAAAACCAAGCAAAATCGTCTGAGAACTACACATCTATATATTTATATATATATATATATATATATATATAGGGAAGAAATGGGTAAGTAAATATTTTGATACGTTTGGAAAGCTCTAAAGCCAGTAGCTAAAATAGTTGTGAAATGCTTTCTCAAGCTGGCAAGAAGATATAGCTACATAACTGTATACTTAAGGTATATAGTTTTCGCTGACATTTGAATCAAGGGGCTTTCCGATATGCCGCTGGAAATGCTGACGGAATGCAAATAGCTTTTATTTTGTTAAATTTTTCTAGTATATTTACAAGCCTAAAATATAAAAAAATTTTTACCGTCTAACAATTTGTATGTTCTTCAGTTAGTTTCCGGTTCGATTCCATTCAAAGTTCAAGTAAAAAAGTTGAAAGGCTTTACCAAAATTAAGTTTTACTTAAAAAAAAAAAACACGATTTCTTTCTCTTTTTTTCTTTTTTTTTTTAGTAAATTTAACTGACAAGAGAACAGCTACGGACTTTAAAGGCAATCATAATTAGGTAAGCGTATTATCAAGAGTATAGAAATATATTACTTCTATATATATATATATATATCTATGTGTATATATCGTCTGTCAACTTTGAAGCCTCACTCGGAGCTGCTTGATTTGGGCATTGTGTGAGCTCTTAGTTAATTGAGTCGCTTCATGCGTCATCTTTTTGTTTTTATTGAAGTTTTATTTGCTTGGCTTCCTTATGTTATTTGCATTTACCTGAGCATTTGACGTGAGCGCGCGTGTCCCAAAAAAAATGAGCAAAATAAGAAACGAAGCAAGAGTCAAACATGACACAGTGACACAATTTGTGCGGCCTGTTTGCCTGTCTCTCCCTCTCCCTCTCTCTCTCACTCTCTCTTTCCCACTCTTTGTCTGGCTGATCTTCAGTTAATTTGCGTGTGCTGCAAAAGGGGAGCTTCACACACACACATACATTTATAATTAGCTTACGCGCGTGACTCACTGCTGAAGCATGCACTTGATAAAGTTGCCGCTGTCTGAAATCGGGAAATTGACGCTGGCAGCAGGCGCTGGGTTGGGCGGGGGGGGCGCATCCATTGGATGCGCATATGCAGTGTGTGTAAGAGACGCTTAACTCTGGCCAAGATCGTACGTGCCTGGAGCTGCCTCGAGCGCGACTCTGTGCCAAAGGCAATCGCACACACACCTTAAGCGCGTGCACACATGGCTTGGGCAAAAGCATTGCAAATTATAAGAAAAAGCGCTGAAAGAAACCGCGAACTGTTTAGAATTGTGAGCACAAAGCAAAAAGCCAACTGCGCTTATCGCACATGCAGCTCGCTCTGTCTCGCTCTCGCATCCAAGTTTCAAACAAAAGCACCCAGCCAAGGTGGGCATTAGAAAGCTTTTTGGCACAGTGGGCCGCAGGCCATGAAAACAGGTACAGCGACACGCGCCTGCATGTCCAGGCTGCTGGTTAACTACCTGTTGGCTAGCCGCAATGACATTTTAATCTCTTTCCAAGCACCAATTTACCTGCGTCCCGGTCCGCTCTATTGCCATATAAATGTGTCCGCGGGCAGGCGCCTGTAAGCAGTTGACTTTTCGTGCTGATCCTGGCAGGTCTACACATAGAAACAACACTTTTGGCCGCATGTGCAAATAGGTAAGTTCTAAAACTTAGCTAATAATTATTATAATTACATTAAGAGTTCCGTCTGCGGTAACAATTCGGCATAAACATTGCATATCGATTGTTCCTCTTCGATTAACGCAGGCCAAGAGCACAGAACAATAATCCCTTATATATCAATGTTTGCTTGGTTATTTGCTCAACTGAAACGGGAGAGGACAAAATAAATAACAGTAAAGTAAAGTAAGCATTTCCTAGACTTAACATGTGTATTTACGCGCGCAAGCAAATCCAAAGCACACACCCATACACACATGCACACGGACATGTTCGGCACACAGTGCAGCGATTGGTGTGAAAGCTTTCTTCGCTGCAGCTTGCAAGCTTTTGGCTGCGCTGGCGCTCCATGACCACAAACCGAATGACAACACTTGAATTGGGTTAGGCGCAATTGGAGACATGCGTCAGCAGCGCAGAAACCGCTGCCGCTGTCGCTGCCACTGCTAGCGCTAGCGTTTGCCTTTTTCTTTGTTTGCCAAGGCACCTCGACGCCGCGGCGTCGCTGTTACAGTTACATATGCAGCGACCGTGGGCAGCGACAGCGCAAGTTCATTTGCTCACACAGACATACGCACGAGAGAGGCGCTGCGCTGCCGCTGCCGCTGTCGGTGTCGGTGCTGCTGCCCGTTCATTCTGAGCTTCAATCATACACAACGGCCGCAGACGTTTATTTTGTTGTTGCTGGTCAACAAGTTAGGCAGCTGGGCGTGCAATTTCTTGCGTTAGTTTTCAATACGAAATTCGAATGTGATCAACGAAAAAATACCAAACAAACATTTGCAGAAAAAAAAAAAAAACAAAACAAAAAACAGTTAAATAAACCAGCAAACGGGTTTCCTTTAGCTGCCTGTAAAACAGTTTTTACTTGTTTTTTTTTTTATTATCGTGTCTGTTATTGCGTGGAAACAATTTCTCAAGTGCTGCGTAAAACGAATTTCGCGCGCCGCCAAATTTTGACGTCAGCCGCGCGACAGGCCGCCGCGCGAGATACATTTTGTGTGTGCTTTGAGATTTTGGCAGCCTACCTACGTTGCTTTCTATATCCAACTTCAAACTATGCGCGTGCTCTTGCTACAACAACAACGGCACCAGCATCAAGAAGAAGAAAACAAAGAAGAGCAATAAAAAGATATAACAAACTCTGCACACTGAGCAAAAAGTGCAAGCGAAATGCAGCTTGTGTGGCCAGCGAGCGCGGCTACAGTGAGCGCCAATGCTAACGGCATTGCAGGCGCGTCCATTGCGTTTAAACGGAAGCCCGATCAGGAGCAGGAGCTGCGACGCAAACAGCACAGAAGTAACTGTAATATGTACAGCTATTACGACAACAACAACAGCAACTACAGTTACAGCTACAATCATAGGCAGGTGGTCAAAATGTATTACAATTCAAATGCGCGTCCATTTTGGGCCAAATGCCCATCGCCGATATTAGTAACAACAACAACAACAGCAGCAGCAGCGATTGCAGCAACTACAATGCCAGCGGCGTTTCTCAATACCAGCAACAACAACGACGATCAACAGTTAACAACAAGCTCAGCGGCAGCGACAACAACAACAACAACGACATGTGAGTCTCTTGTTATTGTTAGTGCTTTGCTCATGGCTTCGTGCCTTACGCTAAGTCTTTGCTTTTTTTTTGTTTTCTTTTCATTTTCGTTTTTTTTGCTTTGTTTTTGTTTTGCACATAAACAGAGTCAACGTTATCGCGTTGCACGTTTTACACTAGCAGCAGCAACAACAACAAAGCAAACAGCTGCGCGCTTGTAACGAAAACAGCTGATTGCAGGGCAGTGCGCACAGTGGAGCAAAGCATGCAGACATGTGTCTAAATAATTGTTGGGCGTTAATTAGACAATGATGAATATGAGAACATTTTAAATAATTTCTATATTTTATTTATTTGTTATCTTATCTAAAAACACGAACTAATTAATTTGTGCTCAGTTTTTAGAAACAGGTGTGATAATATGAGACAGTCTCTAAGAGACAGCAATATGATTTGTGTTGTCCTAGGATATGTGGAGAGTTATCAGTGATATACACATACATATATATATTTATACATAGCTGCTCATCCTGTTATTTTGGCCATCTGTTGTGCATAATGACTTTAATGATATATCATTTAGCTATAATCTTCATATATACAATTCCGTTGTATTACTTATCTAGTTTAAAATTCAAGTTTCTAGTAAACACTTAGACTTTTCGGA